TTTCAACGGCATTTACACTGCATCCATGCATCCTGTAGGGATGGGTAGCAGTCCTAGACAGATAGAATGCTCATTTGATAATATAATGACTGGGGAGAAAACGCAGTAAGGGAGTAGGTTTCCCATCATCCCGTAGAAATCGCCGGTTATTAAAGAATGCTTGGAAGACAGTAGAATTGTCGAGGCAGAATAAGAGTGGCGGACTTGGTAGATGGGCCCCAAAAGAATTCCTGTACACTCCACAAAAGGAGGAAGAAAATCCTTTTTTTTCAAAATCTACCGTAATTCCAAAAGTGACAGTTTAGTGCAAGGATACGGTATAGCGGAGTACGGTAAGACTTGATTTTCTCATCGTCTCAGGACCTAAGTAATGCAAGAAGGTTACTGAAGAGCGAGTGATCAAAAGTGATCGGACATGCGGCAAATCGATGTGACCGAGCGACGTCTCGGTGGCCACGACTGACTGAAGTCGCAGTGTAAGCCGACCGAGTGCTGCTGGCGCTGGCGCGCAGAGGACAGCTGAGCGATTGCCCTCGGCCAAAAACACGTCAGCAGCAGCACGTCGTCAGTGGTGACACTTACCTAACAATGTCATCTCATAAACCTCAGTATTTCTGTCCGCAATCGGCGGTCCCTTTCTCTCTCACGTACTTAACGATCCACATTACGCCTAAAAAGATGCGGCTAGAAATAGCGCCAGGTGACGCGAATCCTAGACCAGGCTACATATCCTCTCATACCTATAACTTTTCACGTGATGCCGCTGGGTAAAAACACGCGAAGTGAGGTAATCTGATCCCTCAACGATCAGCTGGGTTAACAGTTGCTACGAATTTTTCTCCTTGTCACGTTTCCTCGGAATATTTTAGGGTTCTGGGTTATTCAAAGGGCTAGTGCTGCCCAACGCTCCAGATAAAAGGATCAAAAAGTGATTCGCGATGGTGATTCTGTGGCTCTTTTTGGTCTGCGCCATGAATTCAACCCTTTGACACGTTCCAGAAACGTTCATGTACCATACAAAGGCGAATTCTAGTCAATTTCTGAAGAAATGTTCCCAGACAAGCCTTGTACCAAGGAAAGCAGTTCGAGTTCACAAGCCATGACGGCTTAAATTGACCTACGATTAATTCTATGCCAAACTTTGAATCCTGACGCCCTGCTTGTGGCAGTAGCGCCATAATCCGCTTGCTTCTGGCTCTCTGCTCTCAGCTGTAAGCAGCTCTGGGAGACTAATAAAGCTCACTTCAAGCTTATGAAGGAGTAATTTAGTGCACTATTTTTTAGGGTCACTGATATTGTAACACAACTATGACGATCGCTGGGTGGAGAAGCAGCCCAAAAGAACGAACAGAGAACAGCTGTTGCTCCCACCAGTCTCCGGAAATGACTTATCTCCTCCAATAATAAATGACCTGTACACTCAATTCGACCAAAAAGTTGTTGGCCCTTATGGCACTGAACGTTTCGTGCGAAGCGCTTCTAAGAAATACGAGTGTAATCAGCTGCAAGGAACACAATGGATGGCCCACAATGGACGAAGATAATGAAATTTATAGGTACACGCCGAATCACAGCCACTGTGAAGATATGGAAGTTCCGCGACTTTACGCACGTTGCCTCCCGAGCAGGGTCGGTCCTATCGTTGCTACTTTTCGAAAAATTTTTACGACCCCCCTCCCCCAAGGTGGATTTGATACGACCCCCTTTTCCCTACCTCCACCATCTCCATCTTCCATCAAAACCCCGCCCACTTTTTCCTCCAAAAATGCCGTCGAGCGGGAGGGGGTATATACACGCCACTGTAACCCACTTCTACCTCACTACTCCACACTTGCTTCAAAAATTTTCTTTTTAGGGGTGGTCTTGACGCGGAGCTGAGCCACCTCGGGTTTCGTACTCGCGTCGACGCGCTCCTTAAGGACGTTCCATCGTTGCAGAGGGCCAGACGGACCACAGGCTTCCTCCTTGCTATCTCCCAACTAATCGTCCTGAACAATCCGATGGTTCTGATGCGGGAAATTCTCTTCCTGCTTTCGATACATGAGGAACTTTTGTTTCTTCAGCATGCTGACCAACCCTATTCAAAATGGCGTAAATTCTGTGAGTTATCCTTGCCGCTTTCTCACATTCTATCAGAAGGCGAACCGCTTGCTTAGCCAAATCTGAACGCCATGGTAACCTACGCCTGCGATCATTCGCAACGTCTTTATCAGATCCAATTTCTAAGCACCGGCCATGTAACGCGAGAAGTCGTGCAGAATCGGCCAGTTTTTCGAATCGTTCTATGTACATAACAAACACGCATACAAACTCTGCTACAATTTTGGCCGACGTGGATGCGTGGTGCAAACCCAAGTTTAAGGTCGGAGGTTGGAATAGGGGAAAATACCCAGTGGAAAGGCAGGCGCGCTCCCTACGATACAGGACGACCGGCTTCGCAGCCCATCATGCCCTGTGGTCCTAGCAGGGCTATACCCGCGCGACACGTCGTTGCCGCCTCAACCCTCTCACCCTACTGGCCGAGCAGTCTAGCCGCTTTGTCCTGACAAAGCGTTTTAGCTTTGACTATGTTAGCACCTAAGAGGCCCTCCTAACGCGCGAATCCACGGGCAAGCATAGGAACATTTCTCAATTTCTAGGCCTCTTTTCTTGGTTTCTTCTTCATCACCGCACTTTTGACCACCACCAACTGGATTGCCATGGGCTGCCTTTTCATCGTGAACACTGCCCTTAAGTCTATCGAATTTTGTAGTTTTTTTTTGGTTCCTCACCTAAAGGACATTTCTGGAGACGAACCTCCTGGCAGTGTTTGAAAGCCGACTCTCAAACCTCGTTGTAAAACTCATGACGGTGCAGGCACTTATGCTGGCTCACGTCACCATGCAATCAGATGGAACACATAAATCTTCATTGCGAAAAGAAATCATACAACGGTCTGTGGAGAATTGCACTTCTTCGGGAGATTGGACGAACAAATCCAACGGGAATTACGACAGACGTGCACGGGTTAAACGAGAACTGTGAACGAACACAGGTAACAATACAATACGGTATAGGTAACAATACAAATATCTGGCCTCATATACATGCAATGCAGAAGAAGTGCACAACGGGAACATTTCCTATAAGGAACCTTCCTATAAAGAAATCCTATAAGGACAATATGACGTCATCAGCTAAGATTACGGTAATACTTAAAGACAGGCCGTGATTTCTTATCAGATCGATAAGAAGAGTTGAAGCAAATACCACGATGCGTTTTTAACAGTAATCAAGCTCGATTGAAAAGTAACAAATACGAATTACGGCAGAGATTATGATGAGTTTCAAGAACATATCGATTAGCTCGAACACGTCTTTGAAGCACTGGCGGCTGATCAATAAATCGATCAATAATCAAGCTTCAAAGAAAAGATCAGCACACTATGGACAATACATAAGGGAAGAAAGACACGTAAAGAGGAGTGTAACTTTCGGCATCAATCAATGAAAGTGGTCAAAAATCGATATTTTATAACCTATAGCTTAGATAGAAGAATGAAAATCGGGAAAGCAACGACGAATCGTCGATTTACAGCAGTTGCAAGCAATGAGAATGACTGTTAGATGGAGCTGCTGCTGGCAGCAAGCAAGCATGGAGTGTCCCAAAAGTCGCGCATCAATCGATAGTCATATACAGCTTGTGAGAGAATAGCGATGTTCCAGATCACCCAACAACATAAGGAGAAATATCAGTTATCGCTAATTCTCAGGGGAATGATTAATATTAACAGGAGCACAGATACCATAATGTTAAGCTGATTAGTATAGGCGAGTAATTTTTACAGAACTCAGCTTCCTAAAACGGGGCAGTATAGTTTTCATAGGCTAATCAAATAAAATAAAAGACCAAGAAACCTAATCTCGTTTCACAAGGTTTGGTCACTTTTGCCTACGCGGTGCGGGCACGCGTCGCGGTTGCTCCGCCGAATTACGCCAAAGCGAATTATATGACGCATACCGCTTCAACCACTTGTTAATGATTCAAGCTGAAAACCGTCAGAAGGCCAACTCAGGAGCATTTAATTCGAACCTTTGATCAAGCGGAAGATTGTCGGCGTATTCGAGTAGATTATTGAGGCTTATGGGGCCTACCTCGTAGCGACATCACCACAGAGTTACTGTAGCTTCCTTCTAGAGCGTGCACCATGATGTGACTTCAGACCCTACTTGCATTATTTCGCAGAGCAAGCCATTGCGGCCTGGAGGGCTTTTCGGCGGAGATTTGTGGTTCCATATGCGTGTGAAGGTTGCGATTCGAGCCGAGCAGTACACGAAGACGTTGCCGTAGGGAAACCCTCTCAGGGCCGCCGTTTGCAGTGAACGAATTCCTGAAACCGCAAAATGAATTCAAAGGGCTATTCCAATTTTCATAGCCTTCTGTTCCTTTCTAAATAGAATTTGGCCTCCGAAATCTGTGGTATGTACCCCAAACATGAACTCGAAAGAAGATCTGCACTCATCCCACTTACTCAGACGTACTCCCTGGCTCCCCCTCCAGCCCGAATTACCTCTTCAGCGCTTTGCTAGCGCAATTTAATTAGTCTTCAGGCGATAAAAGAAAAATTGTTATTCAGTCGCGCACGCTGGACTGGAAATTAATGATTCGTTGCCTTCGCAAAACGAATTACGGCACGTTAAAAATCATCCAGACTTACTGAAATGGTAATTGTGAAGTTCCCCTCAAGGAACAGCTATGAAAAGTAAACATAAACAAAACCATTTCCTGACCTCTCGTCGTTGGTGGGCGTGATTGCTGGTTGGCTTTGTTCATGCTCGTCTTTCTTCGTAACGAATCGCTTTAGCCATTGCACATCAACGCCCAGCGTATGACGTGCCGACGATCCTCTCGAATGCTTTTTCCGTCGACCACTCGTCGCCCCACTTGCGCCATTTGCCGGAGTACTTTCGCGTGAGCTCACCACCTGCATTTTTCAAAAATGACTTTTTATAACCATCGGGAGATCATATGCGCCACAGGAAACAGTAGATTGACTGCACAGGAAGCGATATGTAGTGCTTTCACGACGAAAGGTGCGCTGGTTGCTGAGCAGACTTGAAAGCGCTCCGCCCTAAAAGCGATCCGCCCACTAGTTTAGTTGGTGATTTACGAGCTGTGTTGCCAGCAGCGGCACAACTGGAGCAACTCGACTGGAGCATGGATTGGCATGGTGCCACCAAACGCGTTGCATTAAACTCGTCCGCCGTCGCCGCTTCCCCTCATTGAGCAAAAATTGAAGACCGCGCATGGAAGTCCCGCTGTACCTTTTCTTGACGGATTTCTGTTTTTTTTTGCCATTTTTTGTACCAACAAGTACCTCTCCACATCCTTTTCCCTCAAAAACATCGTGATCGCGCCTTTGAGGCTTCGTTCCGAATACTGCAAGTAGTCACTCACTTGAATGTACACCGTCCCCCCCACCCTTCTTGGCATTTGGCTGAGGACGATATGCTGAAATGTTTGGGGAGGGGATTGGGGGTCCCCAACGGTGTCTCGACGGTTTACTTAACTGATGTGGTCGATAGGAGAAGTACTGGACGAAAGTGGGACTAGTGCAGTTCGATCCAGCAGCTCCGGGCGAGTAAGAGCTGCGTTTTCCTTCACCCCTAGGACTAAGTTGCGGCACGCGCGCGCACGGACCCGTTCCTCTCTTAAGGCTTAGTTCTGAGGTAAGCACCAAATTGGTGGCGGTTCTAAGGACCGAGTTGAAGTGGTCCGTCCACCGTCGGGGACTCCATCCCCTCCCAACATTCAGCATACGGTCCCAGCCGAAGCGCCAAAAGGGCTGGTTTGCTTATTACGCGTCTGCAAATTGGTCCTGCGCCATGATGCAACGACATCGACAGCCGCTCACCGCCATTTCGTTTTTTCATTGACTGGAGCCCACCTATTTTTTCAAAATTGTCGATTAAAGTATCTCCGACACATGACAAGGATTAGAGAATACAAATTTATGGCCAACAACACGATGACTTCCATGCGAATCAAAAAAAGCATTCAAAAGAAAACCAATGGGAAAATGTATAAGACCTAGTGAGTAAAAAAATACTAGATTGAGTTACGCATAGAATGTTGTGCTCGAACGCCTCACAAAGGCAAAGGAGTAGCCCAGGACAGTCTTCACAACGACAGACGTGAAATGAGGAGGGGAAGGTTAAGGGCACACAGGGCAGCTCTTATGCGACCATCAGCAGGCAATTCTCTCCGCACTGACTATGGTACCGTAAAATTCTTGCATAGATAGCACCTAGTCGAAGTTTGGGGCGAGCAAATTGTCTAACCGAAGGTCAGAATTCCCTAACGAGGGTCAAGGAAATCTTTACACATTGGAACAATCATCCGATCGTGAGTGAACCGTTGCCCTGGTTCACAACCCTCTTTGAATGGAATAGCGACCAAATCTAAAAATCTCTGTAGAGCAGCAAACTAGCTCCTAAGTATTTTAGAAGGGAAAAAAACTTATCATCACGCTCCTGCAATAATCTTGACTAACGTTCGAAATCGTGCAGAAACGCAGGAGAAGGGGACGCAGTGGTATGGAACTCGGGTAAAAAAGCGCGGCGGAGAAAATTCAACAGGGAACCGTATTTGCCTTCTGGGAGAAGGGTCAAATTTGGAATCTTGCTGGGATTATTTATTTATTTAGGCATGGCGGCGAAAGGAGAGGAAAAGAATGGGAAATGGGAAAAGTCTCTGTATTGTTAGAGGTGCGATTTTCGCAGCCACATAGTCCTCCTCCCGAAGCTCGATGCCAATTTTGAAAGTTTAGTGGGAGCAATTCCTGGATCAACGACATTACTGACCACCGGACGAGGGGAAGACTCTTAAAAAAGGAGCTTGTATTCAGCATAATAATGAAGGAAGAGGGGAGGGAGTTAGTGGCCAAAATTTCCTCGACACGAGGGTCACTCTGGTGAAGGGTATCTAACGCGGAAGGTCTCTAAAGGCGTTGACGAGCGGTTTGAAACCGGTTTTGTGCGCAGTGATTAGTAGGGAGGATACGGGGGACCAGCGAGAACAGGTTTAATTTTCCTGACGGTTCTTTTCCTGTGGTTCTCCCGCGATCAGCCCATCGTTCATGCAGAGACGTTATCAAAAAGTTGTCACGCTGAAGACCTTCCTGGTAGCGTCGCAAGTTCTCCTCACTGATTAAGGGCGAGCTCCAACCCTTTCAAAGTAAAGCGATCAAACGCCTTATCTAAATGATTGTAGAGTGTGGCTCACAACCATATTTCTTTTTCGCTGAACGTTTTAATAGTAAAAAAAAAACTAGAAGGTTACCTTAACGGTTCAATCCCCTGTGGCGACTAAGTTTTGCATTTTAGGTTGGCGCCTACGGGTTACTGTCAAGAGCGCTAAATGTTAGATCTGACGCATTCATGGAAACAGACATATAGTTGGCGCTAGATCTTGCAAGCAACTTTAGTCACCCGGGCTGAGTCCGAACTATAGGAGTATTCATATTTTTGGGTCGGTTATCAGGCGAGAGAAGCGGTTTGGGGGTTTGGCATCGTGCCTGAACTACGTTGTCTTCAAGTTTCATAAGAGGTTTCATAGTTTCACAATAGCAGCGAAATATCTTAGCGATCATAGGATACTGTAAACGAAGAACTCAACGATCAACAACTTACAGGCAACTGCTCATACGGGCTGATCGGACGTTCAGCGCTTTCTGGCGATCGTGGATCGACGATTTCCCTCAAAGGGTAGTCACTGACAGGACGGCCTCTTCGAGTTGGGGGTTGGTCGGCTGTGGACGACTCTTCTGGGGACTGTGGGAGACGAACGTTCAGCGACGACGTGGCCTTGTCGCCCTTCTTCATCACTATCGTCGCACAACACTGGAATACATCCACTCAAACATGCATTCCATTAAGGGAACGTTCGGCTTGTTAATGACGTTCTATTTACTACAAAGGAATAGTATTGCTGACAAGCTATGCTAACTAAGTAATAGGAATCACTTCCTACGATTTGCGGTGTGAAGCCTTCCGATCTCATGCATTCACTGACAAAAAAATTCAGAATAACTCTTGCATTCAAAACTACCAACTATGTCGGGAAACCATGCGTTACATGCCAAGCATACCCGAATCATTTTTCAATTTTGGCAGGTGCTCATCATTACCACCCTCCTATTCATTTCACCCAACCCCCGTTAGGTAAGTTAAGAGGACCATGGTATCAACCAAACATCGTCTAGCGGTTTTTCGCAGCGTAAGCGGATGCGATTTGACTGTATCCGGAAATTTCCGCCGCAGAGCTTACACGCGCGACGCCGCGCGCTTTTGTTGCAATACTGAAACCCTGGTTCCCGACTCAGTTCTAAAGGCGATGTTATGCAGCCTACATGGCTTAAACCTATCACAGAAGTCAAGTTTTAGACCGGTGGCCGCGTACACCGGACCGAGCCATCCGCTGTACGCGACGCGATCGCGGGCGCTAGCGAATCGCTCGATTCGCGAAGTCTGACGTCGGCCTTACGATGGAGAACCGCCATTATCATTCCATGCCAGGCAATGTTTCCTTCGCTGTTGCAATACCCATGAGGAATTACGCACCCATTTCATAGTGTTGCATTTGAGCTTCATCTTTCAACCTCACCAACGTTAACCAATATAGGTAATCAAGAAACGTGGAATATAAGAGGATTTTTCCACTGACCGCTGCCCTGTCCATTCGACCAAAATTTTCCAACTGTACATTGACGACTCGTGTCTCATATGATATCTCGACGTCATCGTGCTCATCAGCACCTGCAAATATTACTTTTTTGGCCCAATTCCCTTGACTCCTCCTTTGAAAGCAGAGGTCACACATGAGGATGGGGCTTATGGTTCGTCGACCATCACTGACGACAGCGCTAGGGGTGGAAAGTCGTCCCTCAGTCAGTGACCATCGGCCACTTATGGAACCACGAGCATTTTGTCTACCGTAATACGGTAGACACTGAAAAAAGTATTCACCAGACAAGAACAGAATCACCCACCATTTTCCAATGTTTGAGCGTCGACATCTCTTGGAGTCGGTGACCCTACATCTGAAAGAAACACATTTTATCAAACAGAAAGCATAATCTTCAATAGCGGTCCCTATTAAACAAGTTACGAAATCGACAAAGGGAAAAAGTCAACTACCTTGTAGGTCATCGTGCCTTCCCACAGAGTACGCTACCACGCTTGCATGATCCAGTTTTCCGGGCATATCAGCAATCTTTTCTCTGACGGCTTTTCGCCTGGAAATACCATTCTATACAAAACATATTACATTAATTTAGTGATCTATCGGATGTTAGTACACATATAACGTCAGAACTAATACACGTGACTTTGTTTTCCCTATTATTTACCTCTGGGGTTAATCAAATAAATCCGAATTTAGTGAATCTGAGAAGCCCGACTTTCGTTTCAGTGCAAAAAGATTTCTAAAGAAATCTGAATGGCCCACCACCCAATCTATTCACATTCTCATCAATAAGAATACCCATAGCCCAAATCTCAACGTTGAACAACAGAAATGCGTACTGTAGGTTCCAAAAAATTTCAAAATCGTAAAAATAGCGAATTTTAGAGTTCAACTAGTATGGAAATTGAGAAAAGTGATTGCACACCTGGCTCGCTGCTCCGATTTCGTCATCTTCTCTTTCTTATAGAGCTCCGGATTTTCTAGCGTACGTCGTTTCGCTCTGAACAAACAAACAAAAGCGTACCAAGAAGTCCAAATAAAGAGAAATCAAGCTGAACTATTCGCGTTCTTAACGTGACTGGCTAGATTGCGGGGCAACTGGATGAGACGATGTGATAGTACTGAAGCCGTGACGCGAGGAAATAGTGGTTCATGACGAGGCGATAGACGACAGGCCTGCAGAAGACCAAATAAATAGTACAGATTATGAAGATAACTTCAGCTTCTTGTCGTTTTAAGGAAGTGGTGCCGATAATTTCATGGGAACGATTAGGGGAAAGACTAATGTACAGGTGGTGATGTCCGTTCCTCCAAGTGGTGCCACTGGAAACTGCTCACTTTTGTGAGCTGAGCCGACCACGGACATTCGAATGCAGGCGACAGGCCCCCGTGACAGGCCGGCCTACGAACACCCAAGTCACATCACAATGTCAATGTCGCTACAAGTATCTCGAGATAATGCTACGGCGTCCGCGGGAGCCGACGCGCACTCGCAAAGCCCGGCGAGTGTGAAAAGTATGCGAGGGTCTCCGGTGCAAGGACGGCATCGGGGGGCAACTAGGCTAGTCCAAAAGTCCCGCAACGTATGGAAGACTCGCGTTGCGACGTTAAATGTTGGCACGTTAACGGGACGCTCGCACGAGTTAGCAGAAGCTCTGGAGCGCCGAAGAATTGATTTCTGTGCCGTGCAGGAAACGAGGTGGTCCTGCTGCAAGTCGAGGGACATTGGCCGCGGCTTCAAGGCCGTTCTATGTGGCGGTCCCAGAACCACCAATGGCGTCGGGATGATTGTCTCTGAACGCTTTCGTGATTCGATAGTAAGTGTGGAGCGCTTCGACGACCGTTTAATGAAGATCGTTGTCGTCATGGAACATCAAAAATACCATTTCTTCTCTGCGTACGCTCCGCAGACTGGATGCTCCGAGCAAAACAAGGACAAGTTCTGGAACCTGCTTGATGAGAAGACAGCTGAGGTACCGTCACAAGAAGCCATAATTGTTGCCGGTGACCTCAATGGCCACGTGGGCGCTACGAAAGACGGTTATAGCTGTCATGGTGGTTTTGGTTATGGGTCACGTAATACTGATGGCGAACGAATTCTTGAATATGCAGACTCGCATAATCTCGCCATAGTAAACACGAAATTTCGAAAACGTGACTCACATCTTATCACATTCTATAGCGGTAAAACCAGAACACAAATCGATTTCGTCCTTGTTAGGCACCGTGATCAAGGGCTCGTAACGGACGCAAAAGTAGTACCTTATGAAACGGTCGTCACACAACACCGACCATTGATTTGTACGCTAAAAATCGCCCCACCGAGACCGAAACTAGCCGAAAGATGTGGGCCAGCGAGAATCAAGTGGTGGCGACTGAAGGAGAAAGAAGCGGCCGTCGTTTCCCGCATTCGATTGCCAGCGGTAACGACTGTCGACGAAACTTGGAAAGGTGCTGCCGAAGCGATCACCCAGGTTGCGCGATCCGAGCTCGGCATGACGAAGCCTGGACGGAGAAAGGTTGATAAGCAAACATGGCTGTGGACGGATCAAGTTAGAGAGAAAGTAAGAGAGAAGAAAAAGCGCTACCACGCTTTTCTTTCGGAGAAGACAGCCGGTTGCTGGCAGCGCTATCAGATAGCGAAGAAAGAGGCAAAGAAGGCCGTTGCTTCTGCGAAAGCAGCTCATTTTGCCGATCTCAATGAGAAACTCGAGTCGCGCGATGGTGAACGGTACATTTACCGACTCGCAAAGACCCGCTATCGCCAGACCGAGGATATAGAAAAGTTCTTCGGCATAAATGATGCGAATGGTCACCTTCTGACGGACCGCGAGAAAGCATTGAAGCGATGGTGTGAATACTTCGAGAACATCTCAACAGTCGAATTTGCTCATCCCGCCATCCCTTGCGCTCCGCCAGTACACGGCCCCGTTCAGAAGATAACCATGGAGGAGACCATTACGGCCATGAAGAAGATGAAATCAGGCAAAGCGACTGGTCCTGACGACTTAGCAGCGGACTTGTGGAAATCAAAGTGCTGGAATCCTGCACAGTGGTTGACGGAGTTCTTCAACCAGGTCGTTGCAGAGAAGAAGGTGCCTGAGAGCTGGCAACAGAGCACGACGATTCCAATCTGGAAGAAAAAAGGCAGTCCTGCGGACTGCACTAGCTACCGTCCAATTCGCCTGCTCTCGCATAGCATGAAAATCTTTGAGCGAATTGTAGACAGTCGTATCCGTGACGTCGTCGAGCTGACCACCAACCAGTGTGGTTTTGTTGCTGGTTGCAGCACCATCGATGCCATACACGCCGCTCGCCTTCTGCTAGAAAAGCATCGCGAAAAACAAAAGCCGATACATCTTGCCTTTCTAGACTTGGAGAAGGCTTTCGATCGCGTTCCACGTGACGTTATATGGTATGCTTTACGACAGCATGGCGTTCCCGAAGAGCTTATTGAGTGGGTGCGCATCCTGTACTCGAGTCCAAAGAGCCGAGTGCAAACTGCCGCGGGCACATCGACGGATTTTCCCATCTCTGTCGGAGTACACCAAGGCTCTGCGTTATCCCCACTGCTATTTGTTGTCGTCATGGATGCCATTACAAAAGATCTCCAGAAGCCGGTACCATGGACGCTTCTTTATGCTGATGACGTGATGCTCGCTAGCGAAGATAAAAGCACGCTTGAGCAACAGGTGCAAACCTGGTCCGACCGTCTAGCTATGTTCGGACTCAGGTTGAATGTCAAAAAGACAGAGTACTTGACCACCGATCCGAGTGAGCCAGGCTCTATTAAGATCAATGGTACTGAGCTCACACGTACAACAACATTCAAGTATCTGGGATCAGCAATTGCGTCTGACGGCAGCCTGGTCGTGGAAACGAATTCTCGCGTGAATGCAGCCTGGTTGAAATGGCGCTCGATGACTGGCGTTCTCTGCGATAAGAATATACCTGAGCGTCTCAAATCCAAGATCTATAGAACCGTCATCCGGCCGGTCGCCATTTACGGTGCTGAGTGCTGGCCTGCGACCAAAGAAGTTGAAGCCCGTCTCGGTGTGATGGAGACAAAGATGCTCCGCTGGACAGCCGGAGTCACACGATTAGATCGCATTCGTAATGATGTCATCAGGGAGCGATTCGGTGTAGCTCCGATTGTTGATAAAATGCGCGAAGCCCGTCTCCGATGGTATGGACATGTTCTTCGCGCGAATGAGGACAGTGTCCGTAAGATCGGTCTCAACCTTGACGTGCGCGGAAAGCGGCCTAGAGGACGCCCGAAGCAGCGATGGCTCGACACGTTGCACGAAGACTTGAAGAGCGTTAACATCCACCCCGATCAAGCATTCAATCGGGAGAAGTGGCGTCAACACATCAGAAAAGCGGACCCCGCCTACAAGCGGGACAGACGCTAAAGAATAAGAAGAAGAAGAAGAAGAAGATCGGGAAAGCTATGTATTGGAGTGGATAGAGGTCCTGCCCAGTGTTACAACACGTGAAGTTTCAGTGGCAGTGGCGCCTTATCAACGGAGTGATAAGGCGCCGAAATCCACTTCCGTTCAGCAAAAACCAAGACTTATCGATGTGGAAAGGGGTGCGATAAGAGCGTGCTAGATATGATACCGTTATCGTTATCGTCCCGTTTTCATTCTGGAGTGCACCTCTTATCAAGCAGCCGCATCTTATCTCATCGTATCATATCTTCCATAGGCTTACACTCCTCCAACAATTGCTGCCTCCCACCTTATCGAGTGATAACGCGAGGGTAGCAAATTCTACGTGGAAGCCAGCGTGACCGCTTCCTTTAATCATAGAAACCGAGATACAGTACAAGCCAGACGAGAACACAGACCGACCAAATTAAGCGTATGTCATCGGGGATGTTTTTGGTGAATGTCCCAAATATTACAGCCACGGTGTAATCGTTGGAAAAACCGCAAATAAGTCACAGAATAGCTGGAGAGCTTCCATACACAAGTAGAGATTTTCATACAATGGCCAGACAGTCATGCAGGCAAAATGAGTAAAAGCCTGACAAAAGTGATTGAGGGAGAAGTCCAAGCCTAAAATCTGAATAAGGCGCGATCCCTAGCGTGTCCTGATTTCAATTTCCAATTCAAAGGCTGTAGGGAAAAAATTGTCGCCAGAAATCAAAGGCAAAGGCAGGTAGGCACGCTCCCCTTCAAGAACGCTATTTGTCATCAAGTTGAATAAAATCAATGCATTGAGAATGAGAAAAAAGAACGTCAGCTTCCGCTTACTCCTTTCGGCGGGTCAAGTCCATTTGCGATGATGTCCCGCATTCGGACCAGCATCAGTTCGTGACGGCTTGCAGCGTCCACACATGGAAGTGTGGCTGCGCACGTGCGAGGTCGTGCGAACTCTTTCGACGGAGAATCCTTCGTAGCCCTGCAGACATGATTCTACTGATTTAGGTATGCATTAACAAACTCAACTGACTTAATATTGACAAAAAGGCACAATTAACCCTTCACTTCATCTCTTTTTTAAACTGAGTATCGATAGATTTGTCACCAAAGTTGAACAGCTGAGTACGGGAATTTCATACTTTTTGTGCCCAGTAACCGATACGTGTAGGTTCCTACCAAAAGCTGGTGTCAAGAAGGTGTGTACTTGGGTTTTTTCAACCCCTTTCTTCGTCCAAAACAGGAAATCGTAATTCTTCGTTCTGGATACGCATGGCTTCCCCGTTACTTCACAACGATACACTAGAGAGCGAACCCGAAATGTGCGTGCAAAAATACTGCGATAACGTTCCTATTGCATCGCACTACGCATAGTTACCGTAACTTTAAAAATTGGGGCAGCAAAGGGTAAACAATGCCAAATAAAAGGATAAGAACTCACACTGACAATTTTCTATTGTCTCGCGGTGGCAGCTGTGCATTCTCCTTGTTCTCCGTTTCGGCTCGTTTTATCACGCAAAACTTCCC